GGTGGCTCGGCATCGGGTGGCTCGGGCATGTCCCACTGGAAGGAGACCCCGGGGGAGACCCAGGACACGCTGATGGATGGGTTTGTATGTATGTGGAAAACACTATAAATAAATAAAAAGTTGTGCAGGGTAGTTGAGTATATTGTTTGCTATCTAACTAGTCACTGTAGTAGTAGTAGTATTAGCAGTAGTAGAAGTAGCCGTATTAGTAATAGTTACTGTTCCCATTCACTAGTTCCCATTGTGTATGAAAGACCCATTGAACTTGTCCATCGCACACTGTGGCTTTGACCAGTGTTTGTATTGGCCAATATAAATAAGTTATCACCTCATGGGAACAGTACATGAATATTTCATACATGCTTGCACATGCTTTAGAGTCCTTATGCATCCCTCTGATCTCACTAATAAACCCAATACATGGATTTCTGTATTAATATTTTATGTACAGTACTTAAGACTAGTTTACTATCAGTACTTTATTACCCTAGGCCAAAGTGTTGTTCTATATTGCCTTTGTCTTTTATGTGTTTGTTCTCTATGACAAAAACATGTAACTTGTTAAAATATATTATAGTTTTACATGTGTTTTTCTCCTCATGGTCCCAGTAGATTTTAATGTCATAATCTTGAACTGAAATCTTAATCACGCCTGCTCTTAATTCTCTCGATCCCCTGGTGAATTTCTTATCAGACCAAACGATAACGTTATTTATTAAAACTCCTTCTCAACCCTTCCCCAAAGTACAGTGGAGCTAGACTGTCATCTGGTGGTGCATTTGCGTCATTACAGCTCACTTTTGAAAGCTGGCCTCGAAAATCGCCGCACTATTTCATGCACCATTACCATGCATCAACTGCCAATAATGAGGATAATTGGATTTTAAATGAACACAGTTTATAATTTGCGGCGGACGTAGGGGTGAGTAATTGATGTATGCGCTTTCCCTTCAGAGTAAAATGAATTCAGAGCTACTCATCATCTCTGGTAATGTCTTCAGGTCCACCAAACACTCGACTAAACAAATAAGTGTGGCTTAATTTTATTTTATTTTTTTAAATAAATAACAAGGGACATTAGGTATATTATAACACAAAAACACACGCACAACTCCAGGTATGTTTTTGATAAGGTACAACATTATAACATGGCCTAAAGAGTCAATTTGTTATAATATAGGACCTTTAAAGATGCATTATGTAGCTTTTCTGGTGGAGAATCAAGATAAAGAGCTCTATTACACTCAGGAACAAGTAGGATTTAAAAAATAAATTAATAAAAATGGGCATTAGATATAATATAACAGTTTTTTAATCCAGTTTTCTTACACTTTACATTTTCAAGTTGACTCTGAGGAAAGACAGGGACTGTTTAAGGAATTAACAGAACAAATTTGTTAACTTGAAAACTACTACTTCATGACATCACAAGATGGAGCAGAACATTTTGAACTTTAGAGATGTAGAAAGACTAATAATCCAGCATTACTCAAGCATTTGTGAATTAAACAAAACACATCTCCAGGTATATTTTTGAGGAGGTAACAACATTATAACATGGCCTAAAGCTCACAAGAGTAAATTTTTTGTTGGACCTTAAAAGATGCATTATGTAGCTTTTCTGGTTATAAACTTGCTTTCATGCATAGTAATTGCGTTGCCCAAAAAGTTGCACTGTATGGCATTGAACTGTTATTGGATTAAACACATTAAATGCCATGGAGATAAGAAGCAGGTGATGGCACAAAGCCAAGTTACAGATCCAATCTGCGAAGAGGCGAGACTGCTTACCATAAGTGTATAATGTTTTTGGCAACATTTACTTTTCACTTAGAATATAGTTACAAACAGCTTACGTGTGCTTTTTAAAATTTTATCAGCAAAATAAATGACTGCACAGATGTACTTCTTACTACTTTTTAATAGAAGAACTGATTGGTGTAACTTCAGAAATGCTTTTTAAAATTTTGATTTCCCAAATTTTGCATTTATTGACCCTAAAATGTTCTACAATGTGGCATTAAACTTAACTCCATGAAGGTAAAGCAAGTGACGCAATCATCTGTGGAGGGGCGAGCGTACTCAGTTAGAATGCATTTGGGATTTGGGGGATTTTTTATTGCAAGCTGTTAAATTTAGTATGTTTAATGCCATACTGTGGATTATTCCAGGCAAGGCAAATGGGAAAATGGGAAAAGCTATGTAATGCATTTTTAGCAGCATATCCAGGGCTGGGTCACTGGGGCAGCAGTCTAAGCAGGGATCCCCAGACTTCCTTCACCCTGGACACTTCTCCCAGCTCCTGTGGGGGACCCCAAGGTGTTCCCAGGCCAGCATGGAGATATAGTCCCTCCAGCATGTCTTGTGCGTGTCTTCCTCAGGGCCTCCTCCTGGTAAGACATGCCCGGAATTCCTCTAGGGAGGCGCCCAGGATGCATCAGGAACAAATGCCCAAGCCACATCAGCTGGCCCCTCTTAACATGGAGGAGCAGCGGCTTTACTCCAAGCTCCTCCCATGTGACTGAGGAAACTCATTTTGACCCCTTGTATCCCCAGTCGTCATTACCCAATGCTGATGGTCATAGGTGAGGGCAGGAATGTAGATTGACCGGTAAATCGAGAGCTTTGCATTTAGCTGCATACACCGTTTTATATTCAAACATAAAAACAGAACTGTCTTTTTTTCGAAGCATATACATGATAAACTTAACTCCTTTATATTAGTATCTCTCTTACTTTCTGCACTAACCTTACTTTACCATTAGAGGTCACTGAAGCAGAATTTTCGCATCATTTTCGCAGACAGTCCACTTCTTGTCCTTAAACTTGAGTAATATTGCTGAATGACATGATCCATCTGCAGAGACTGGAGTAGGCTCTCATATCTCTGAGATTGGTCCAATATAACCGAGATAAATCTTGTGTAATGGTGACAGAAGGGGCTCAACTCTCCTGGAGAAGGGACAGTCATTTTATTTATAGCCTTTTAGTCCTTTAGCTCAGTGTTAGGTTAATAGTCTTCGGCACTGATGGGCGCAACCAATATTCACTGTTTAGAACTCATATTTCTGAATTTTGTAGCTTAAAATAAAAATAAAATACTACAATATTAATGTTTTGTGAAGTAGACTGGCAAGAATTTTGAGTTATAAATATAAAAAATGGAAATTATGATGGATGAAGTTGGCACTGCTTCAATGGACATAGCGGACTTTTTAAAACTTTTGGAGTAATTAAGATAGAGGTTAGTGGAGTAGCTCAAACGAATAAGAAATAAAGAATAGCCTATTACTCAAGTAGAAGCATAGACTGCGTAAAGAAGTGGACAAAGTGAGTGTGACGTCACCTACAGAGCTCGAATCCAGTCAAATGAAGCTCATCGAGGCTGGTGGTTATGGAAGAGAATTTGGAGCGTGGTCTAAATTAGGAATACGAATTTGTTTGCAGATGACATACCATGTACAGTGGGTTAATACGAATATTTTAAGGCCAAAATGACAAGGCTCACTGCAGAAGTTACAGAGAGAGGGGTGACAGTTTTTCTATGTAAAAGGAATTGGGGTCAGAGTCAGTGGAGCCAGAAGCGCCCCCATTCTCACTTCCTATTTGGAATGCAGTGGTTAGTGGTTTAGATATGTAAATGTATGTATAATGTGAAAAATCCCTCAGTCGTCCCAGTAGAATCCATAGAGAAGGAGAAATTCAGTTTGTCGTCTGGACAAAAGTTTGTTTCTGTTCAGTTCAGAACTAGGGGTGTAACAATAACCGAAATACCATGATATCATATCGTCAAAGTTCTCACAATAATATCGTGGACCATCACAATATATCGAATTACAAGTGTCTTTGCTTAAATTAAGAGTTATGGTGCAGCACTAGTTAAAAAACGACAGAGGGAACTACATAGACCATGATCCTTTGCTCCATTTCAGTGCAGACTACATGAAGAAAGAACAAGTCAAGGCAATTCAAGAGGAAAAAGTAGCATTTTAACAGTTTTAGCTGTTTAGCCTCCACAAAATATCTCAATAAATATCGTACCGTGAGATGTGTATCGTGAAAATATCATACCAAGAGATTTGGATATTGTTACATCTCAAATATTGAGCCTCCCCACCATATCGTAAGCTTTCCCACGATATCGTACTGTGAGGGTCATACCCTGACGATATTGTGTCATGAGACTTGGATATCATTACACCCCTATTCAGAGCTGAAGAAGCAGCTTAGATGAGTTGCAAAACGTCTTTGACCAAACAAACTTTTGTCCAGTCGACAAACTGAATTTCTCCTTTGCCATTTATGTATACAGTTTATGAATAAAAGTACTTGGTAGTCCATGAAATTACTCATATAGAAAACATATTTGGGGAAACTACTCATACAGTTAGAGTATTTTTAGGAGTAACTATCTGAACGTGGCAGAAAATAGAAAGAAAATATGGAAAGAAGGTAATAATATTTGGTTACTTGTAGCTAAGCAAACCCAAAATTGGAACTACAGATGAAGAGCTGACATAAGGTTCACCACAAGGGGTCAGTAGAACAACATAGTACAATTTCAATCTCTCCAAATGCATTTTACCTATAACTTAACCCTAATATATTTATATTTATGCCTGGGTAGGTTTACTAAGCTACTTTTCGAGTGGAGAGTCCGTTACCTACTTGTCACCATGGAGATGTTATTTCTTTCGCTAGAATCCTTCACAGTATGGCATTAAACACATCTTTACTCAAATGTAGGTGTTTATGACTGGAGAAAATACTAGAGAAACATGCACCTTTCCACAGATCGGACCTGTAACTTGGCCTGGCAGTGTCTCCAAGGGGGTGTAAACATTTCGGGCCATACTGTGGAACACTCAGTCTCCCTCTCACTTTGATAGCATGTTTATTCTTAGAACAACTCCAGTCCAAAGTGAAATGTCTGTAAAAATGGAAGTGAAGTTTTCTAATTAACATTCTGCTCTCCCCCTCTCTCTCTCTCCCTATTATAGCATCGTGTTGATGGCCCGGGACAACTTTATCACTCCAAGAAGCACTCTCCTTCAGGGTTTGTAGACGCTGTGATTACATAATTAAAAACATCCTGGAAAAGACATGGAAAAGTGTTTTGGAACCCTGAGTTTGCTCAACCCAACTCTCGTATACCAAATAGCCATTATATTACCAACAATAAAGGGACACCTGATACAATTATAGGTTGGAAATTTTGTGGTTTAGTTTTTGAGCAGCTCTTGAGGTCAAATAAAGTCTGTCACTAAAAGAACTTTACATTACTTTAGTCGAGTAGTAGTAGTAGCTGCAGTAGTACATACACCGAAGAGAATGTTCCTGATATCTCTATTTTTATTTTTATTTTTTTCATGTATTTGAAAAAAAAAAATTTAAATATCTTGCCTCAGTACAGATATATTGTACGAGCAGCCCTTAAGGTCAAAATAAGTCCCAGCTTTTGTCGGCATCAATTCTCAAAAAAAGCAAAACAAAACAAAACAAAAAAAATGGAAGCTTCTGTTCTTTCCAGTCAGACAAATTGGATTAATTAAGTTTTATCTTGACTGGGGTGACTTTTGAAATATGTGTGCTGAGAGAGTGGGGCATGGGAAGGTTTTGTTTTTTGACTATTTTTGTTATTTGTTTAGTTAAATGTTCAATTTAATAAAAAAATTAAAATAAAAAAGAGAGAGAAGCCTGAACTGCCTAATGTTAGAAGGCGCCAATCCCTGGATCTAGACTAAAAACTTTTTAAAAATCACCGATGTTTAAATATTTCTTGGAATATTGTCAACCAATCTTTTTATTTGTATTTGTATTTTTTCTGTTTTATTTATTTACAGTGTTTTGCCTAAGCATGAGTTTACTGGTGACAGATACAAGCTTATTTCTCGCTTCAACTTCTTCTATATTTAAACTCTGCTGCGTGGTGCTTTCGTTGTACGGGATTTTCTACTTCTGAGGGAGTCGTGCTTTGAGTCCGCACTTCCAAATGCGTTCTGGATATTATGGGACACACTGGGGATTATAAATGGAGTTGTAAATAAATAGAGGGCTTATGCAAAGACCTAAATCTTAAGTCTACAGCAGACCCACCCTATACAAATTGGATTTTCTCCGACTTATACTGACCCACTCCAGTGTGAGGAAATGATATCAAGACATTTACAAGTCAGTAAATCTTTAATGAGCGAAAGGGGGGAACAGGTTCACACTGAATTCATTTGTTTTATCATCGGACTGGAGCGCTCTAAGTGTTGTGATTTAATTTGTGTTGTTGAACCTCATCACAAACATACCTGGAGTTGTGTTTTGTTAGTTACGGTAACATCAGCCGGGTCAAATTGTTCGCATGATGAAGTTAACTCATTGCCACATGTGTGTATCTGTATATTATGTTTGCATGCTTTTACACCACAGTGCCACATGCTCTTCAAAAACACTCAGTAAACACTCAGGTAAAAGCGTGTATTATTTGTCTGAAGAGAGAATATGCCCGTCGTGATTAAATGTAAATGTTGAACCAGACAGTCAAGGACGTCAGCCCACATCAGACTGCTCCCGTTGTTTGGATAATCACCATAGGAACAGCCCCTGCATGGAAATTTTCTCTGTGTGTATGATCTGTACTTACCCCGGTTTTTCTAGGTATGTGCACGGACTGAAAAATGTGAATTAAGATGATCTTTTTATATAATATTGTAGTTAATTGAATTGTTTTATTTCAGCTCACGTCATAACTTCCTATACACCTGCAATGTTTGTAGATATGGGTATATAGTTCTCTATGGGGAGTAAGATTTTTTGTGTGGCATGATAGAGGAATCACAGATATATTATGTTAGTATGAGCTGTTTCATTGTTTGTAGGGATGGGGCGAGACGAAAGACGAGATTGGATCTACGAGAACAAGACGAGACAAGATTTTGACTTTATTTACACTATAGTAAATGCATTGTGCAATTCAGTTCTCAATTTTATCCTCAGCATTTTTGATTTACTTTATTTAATATTTCTGCTGTCCTTGTAGCTCTGCTTTTTGGGACTACACATTCTCAAAAAAAATTTAATTCACCAGTACTCTATTGTGTATGTATGTATGTATGTAAAAACATGAGAAAAAAAGTATGTGTGCACAACCTTGTGGCAATTTTGTAGCACGAGATCTTGTCCCATCCCTAATTGCTTGTATATACATTGATATTTACGATATATTAAAAAAAAAATTAAAGAAACTACAATTAGGGCTCTAGTCAACTAAAGAAATTCTTGGACAACATATCCTATCCTCGATTCAGAGACTAAAAGCTCTAAAAAACAATTACGTATCTTTATGTACCTGATCCAAACTGCAGTCACAAGACTACAACCGTACAGAAGTTTATTTATAGAAAGACAGTTTAATCTGCCTTTAAATACCAAAAATACATCTCAGCTAACTCACTAAGTTCTCCTTTCTGCTGTTGTCCTATATTAAGGGTGCACCAATCTGATACAGGTATTGGACATCGGCGCCAGTACTGAAATAAATTGCTTCAGTCGATATCCTGCTTAGACATATAAATCAATGTAATGCGTTTTTTTACTGGTCCTAGTTGGCCCAGAAAGTCTCATCATGTTTAAATTTGTATTGATACAAACAGTTCCATGACACACTTTGTCTTATTTTATTTTAGTTTAAAGGAAATCAATGCAGTTTTTAGTCTCTGAACTGGTATTGGTTGATATCAGAATTGGTGTCTGAACTGAAGAAGCTGGATTAGTGCATCCCTTTCCAGTATAAATCCTTATCTTAATACAATGATTAGTCAACTATTAGAAATTCTGATTAATGACTAAAGGCCGACAGCCCTATTACAATCAACAAACACACCATCTGAGACAAAATTTGGTTATCAAATATCCAAAAACTATGATAATCTCACTATAAAAAAGAGTTTGAGCTTGAGTTTTCACCACTAAAATCATACCAGCTCTAGTTTGCTGGAGGCCTCCCCATGACCGTCTCTCTCTCTCTCTCTCTCCCCGTCTGACACTAACCTCAGTGTGGCCGCGAGGTTTTTGGAAGTCCCCTCACGTCCCTGGATCCACCGCGGAGCTGCCAGACACATACACTCTCACACAAATGCTGAGCTTCCGTGCTTTTTGGGGACATCGCATTGACTCACATGTACTTCCTGGAGACTGAACTCAAACCATAATCACAACTCTATCCCAACCTATTTTAACCCATATTTCAACTTTATGTAATTATAAACTTCCTTGAGGTTTGATTTTGGTCCTTATAAAGAAGACACATCCCCTTGATGTGAGTGTGCGTGCAGATTTCAGTCCCCACAAAGTGCAGAATACGCGCCCACACTCAGAGATACAGATATCTGGTGCCCCGACAGCTGTTGAGGAGGGCACTGGCACTGGCATTGTGTGGTACTGAAGACTACCAGACCGGAACATGTCAAGTGGTACAAAGGAGGAGGAAGCAAGTCAGATTCTGCACTGAAGTGGTTTTTGAAGAGGGTTTCTGGAATAATTTTACTGTTTTAGAAAGTGAAAAATGTTTGTAAAGATAACCAAATAAAATGTGTTATTTCTAGCTCTGTTATGGTCTCATTATATCATTGTGGAATATGCTGGCATTATATGAATACCATGTTGTGTACCCTTTAGTTGGACATACAATCACTACTACTACTGCTACTACTACTACTTCCATTACGTTTTCTACCATCCAATATATACAACTTGAATTTTCCATGTCCTACTGATTACCCAGTGCCTTGTGTAATGTACTACTGCTACTAATGTGAAGTACTATCTGCTAACACTACTATATTGTCCCTTAATTATACAATGCATCAGATAGTACTGCTACTGCTACTATTCCTGCTACTGCTACTACTGCTATTACTACTACTATTACGTTTTCTACCACCCAGTATATACTATATGTATTTTTTAATTTTTTTTTTAGCCTGCAACTATACCACACTACTACCACTACTGCTACTACTACTACTACTAGTGTAAAGTACTATCTGTAAACACTACCATAATCAGATAGTACAACTTGAATGATCCATGTCCTACTGCTTACCCAGTGCCTCATGTACTGTACTACTACTATTACTACTACTACTACTAGAGTAAAGTACTATCTGCTAACACTTCTACAATGTGCCTCAAGTATATCAGAAAGTACTGCTACTACTACTATAGTACTTCTACTATTACATTTTCTACCAATCAGCATATACTGCATGTATTTTGTTTTTTAACCTATAACTATACCACACTACTACTATTGGTACTGCTACTACTACTATTACGTTTTCTGCCCCCCAGTATATATCGCATGTATTTATTTTGTTGTTAAGCCTACAACTATATCACACTACTGCTACCGCTGCTACCGCTGCTACTCGTGTAAAGTACTCAAGTACTATCTGTAAACACTACCATAATGTCCCTTATGTCCCTATGTCAGAAAGTACTGCTGCTACTACTACTATTATTACTAATATTATGATTTGTACCACTCAGTATGTACCGCATGTATTTTTGTTTTTTAGCCTAAAAATGTACCACACTACTACTACTACTACTACTACTACTACTACTACTACTAGTGTAAAGTATAAAATGTCTGCTAACACTACTATTATGTCCCTTAAGTATACAGTGCATCAGAATGTACTGCTACTATTACTGTGACTAATGCTACTACTGCTACTACTGCTACTACTACTACTACTACTACTACTACTACTACTACTACTACTACTACTACTACTACTCACAATATAACTGCTACTCCTTTGTTGTAATTGAAACAGGAGAGGCTGTAACGTGCTTAGTGCCATAAAACAGTACAAATGACTGCAGATTTGTTTATATCCTGTAACTGGCAGAGTTCATTAGCATAAGAGGAATCAAGAGGCAATCTCTGGAGCACTGGGAACAATTACACCAAATCAGATCTCGTATTTCCACATCACGCTTTGTCATGAGAAATATCTTTAAGGATTACGATGGAAAATATCCATATCTTTGCCTGTGTACTCTTGTAACGGAAAAGAAAATACAGACGTTTTGATTGATACATTAATAACGATTGAACGATTTGCATAATGTTATTCAGTTGCAATTTAAAAGGGCTTATGATTAATGATGCATACTTATGGCTGTCGCTGTCGATTTTATTATGCAAATGTTGTAACACGCTCTAATCAAACGTGTGTGTATGTGTGCGTTTGTGTTAATTAGTGCCATCTAGTGGTGACATTGAAAATTTCGCATCAA